AGGGATGTGGTGTGGTGGAAAAGCTACTTCAGTTTGAATTCTACAGTTAATGAACTGTGTGACTGCAAAACTCTTACCTTCAGAGCCTCAGTTTCTTCATTTGTAAAATGAAGCTAATCAATATTTTCACTACCTTTCTCACTAAAGTGTTAGGAACTGTACTGTGTAACCCTGAAAGCTCCATAAACTTTATTTATTATGAGTTTATTATGTGAGTTTGTCATAATTATTCATAGATTTGGAACTGAAAGAGACCTCAGAGTTCATCCTAGCCCAACATCTTATTTTGCAAATGAGAAAGCTGAAACCCAGAGAAATTAAGGTCACATGGTAAGTAGGAGAGCTAGGATTTGAATCCAAGCCCTCTGAGTCCAGATCCAGTGCTCTTTCACTTACATAATTTTTAATTAAATTTTGTGGTTTTTTTCCAATTAATTAAAATCCATCTTCTCTGTCTTCCACTTCCCCTCAGTGAAAAAGAAAGGAAAATAAAAACGCTTGTACTCACTAGCTGTGTGACTCTGGGCAAGTCACTTAACCCCAATTGCCTCGTATAAAAAACAAAACAAAACCCTTTTAACAAATACCTGTAGTCAAGCAGAGCAGACACCCACATTGGCCATGTTCCCTCCCCCTCTAAAAATGGGCTTTCATTTGTACCCTAAATCCCCTGTCAGGAGGTGGGCAGCATGTTTTATCATGAGTCCTCTAGAATCATGGTTGGACATTGTGTGGATGGGAGTTCTTAAGGCTTTTAATGTGTTTATCTTTACAAGATTGTTATTATTGTAGAAATTGTTCTCCAGACTCTGCTCACTTCACTCTACCTCAGTTTATAGAAGTTTTTCCAGATTCTTCTGAAACCATCCCTTTGATCAGTTCTTATGGCGCAATAGTACTCCATCACATTTATATGCCATAACTTGTTCAGCCATTCCCTCTTTGATAGATACCCTCTTTGTTTTCAGTTCTTTGCCACTGCACAAATGGCTGCTACAAATATTTTTGTACATATGGGTCTTTTTCCTCTTTCTTTGATCTCTTTGCTGTATAGACCTAGAAGTAGTGTCACTGGGGCAAAGGGTATATACAGTTTAGTAGTTTTTTAGGAGTTCCGAACTATTTTGCAGAATGGCCAGACCAGTGCACAGCTTCACCAACAGTGCATTAATGTACCTGTTTTTCCACAGCCCCTCCAGCATTTTCTACTGTGCCATTTAAAAAAAAAATCCTGGTCTAGTACCAACTGAGGTTTTATTTGCAAAATGAAGAAATGTTTTTGTCCGTCCACATCAGATTGCTCGTGAACACCTCTGAAATGTAGGCTTGGCTTATTAAAAAGTCTTTGTAAAGTGACATGGGAATAGAGAGAATTTTATGACTTCAGTGGAACAAAAAAGAGTGTCCTTGGAAGCAGGGTTTAAATTTATTTTTCAATTAAAAAAGGGCATTTAAAAAGCCTAACCCCTGTCACGCAGTGCAGGGAACTGATCCCAACCATTTGGACCAATAAATGAAATCTAGGTAAACAACTCAGGCCGATCAGCTCCTTAAACCTTCCTTTACAATAATTGTCAGCAGTGAGAAGAGGAGGAAGGTGGGGGGGTGTGTATTGACAACCTTGCTTCCTTTAGGGTGGCTTTTACTAATGAATTTGAGTGCATGAGGTGCTGGTTTTTTTTTTTTAACTTTTCTTTTTAAAAAAAGAAAGGAAGAACACCCTTTATGACTGACTAGGAGGCAGAATGCTGTGATATCAAAACCGCTGTTATTTGTCATCAAGGACCTAAGTCCGAAACCTGACTGCCGGGTAAATCACTTAAATCTCTCTGAGACTGTTTCCTCATTGCATTAGTTCATGGGCATTTGGGTACTCCAGAAGTCAGAGTGCAGTTTTAATTGATTAAAGCATAGAAGTACTTGCATTACTTCCCGATAGAATGTAAGCTCCTTGAGGGCAAGGACTGTTTCATTTTTATCTTTTTATCTGCAGAGTCTTACTCAGTACATGGCACATAGGAGGTGCTTAATAAATGCCTTTGTTTGTCACGGGATCTCATATGTAGAGCTAAAGCCGAAGAAACCTTTTAGGTTATCTAGTTCAAGTATTTCATTTTGCAGGTGAGGAAACTGAGGCTCGAAGGGTTAGCAGCTAGGTGGTGCAGTGGATAGGGTGTTGGCTTTGAAGTCAGGAAGACATGAATTCAAATACCTCCTCATGCACTTACTAGCTGTGGTGAGTTAATCATTCTCAGCCTCGATTTCTTCATCTGTAAAAAGATGATCATAATAGCACCTACTTAGAGGTAATGTAGTTTTTTGGCAACCTTATATATAAATAGCTTTATATACATAAATAAAGGTATATAAATAAAATAGCTTTCTATAAATGCTAGCTTTTATTCAGGATCTTGTTCAAGGTCATGCTGATAGAAAATGGCAGGGCCAGGACTCAGACTTGGGTCCTCTGACCCCAGGATCAATAATTTTTCCATTGCACCATGCTCACTCTCAGTAATTCGTGAGGACTGAGATTATTACATAAAGTAATTTTGTAAATTACAACATAAATGTGCACTATTAATATCTAAATAAAGCATTGGCATATTATGAGGGAAGTGCTTGGTAAATCTTGAAGCACTGTGTAAAAAGTGAGTTGTTTTTATAAATATTGCTTTGATGGGCCAGGCTGGGATAGAGGCTGAATGTGCTGGTGGTCAAGGGGACACTGAGGCATAGAGCGACAGGCTGATAGTTTAGATTTGAACCACAGTGTAATCCTGGAACTGTCTTAAAGACTTGCAGAGTGGCCAAGAAAACCTCCAATGGGGTCACGAAGAGTTGGACACAACTGAAATGACTGAACGCCAACAGCAAAGATCTGGATTAGTCTTCTGGAGAGCTGGTGATTTAGGGCTTCCTCCTTGTCAGTAGCTTCACCTCAAGAGTTCAGGCCTAGCGTGAGATTTTTATACCTCAGGCCCTCTTAGGCATCAAGAGAGGAAAAGCACTTTAATTGCCAGGGCCCCTGGGGAGGGCGGCTGGATTGCACAGTGAGTAGAGTACTGGGCCTGAAGCAGGAAAGACTTATCTTCTTGAGTTCAAATCCAGCCTCCGATACTTACTAGCCATGTGACCCTGCGCAAGTCACTTAACCCCGTTTGCCTCAGTGTCCTTATCTATAAAATGAGCTGGAGAAGGAAATGGCAAACCACTCCAATGTATCTGTCAAGAAAACCCCAAATGGGGTTCCAAAGAGTCAGACGTGGAGGAGGGACATTGTCCCACTAATGGAGGGGCAGACAGAATAAGTGAGAAAAGAGAGTGAGGTACAGGCGGGAAGGGGCTGATATCTCTTGGAACATTGATTTGGATCTGAGGCCCCCCACATCAACACATGATTAGATTAATGAAGTCAACCCAATTTGCAAACGTTTAGTAAGGTCCTCCAGATGTGCAGGGCATTGTGCTAATGACTATGAAGGGTGACACAAAGAAGCAAAAAGCATAGTCCTGTCTACAGGGAGTTTATAGTCATATTGAGCATGATCCTTCGTTTTTGTTACAAGGGAGTAGATTTAGCTATACGTGCAACAGTTGAATAATGTAGGCATGTAAGATGCCTCTATATGCCAGTGTTCCCCCATTTACACAAGAAAAGAGAGGTATATGCCTATTCATGCCAATATCCCCTCCTGTATATGGAATTGGAGAGGTGTGTCTGTCTTCATGCCAATATTCCCTCATATACATGGAATTAGAGACGTGTGTCTCTCAACGTGCCAATGTTCCCCTATATACATAAGAATAGAGAGAGTGTGTGTCACTACATGCCAACATTCCCTCATATACATACGAATGGAGAGGTACATGTACATATCTGTACATGCCAACATTCCCCCATATGCATAAGAATAGAAAGGTGCATGTCTCTGCCGACGTAGGAATGGAGAGATGCATATATCTGTACGTGCCATGTTCCCCAATATACGTAAGAATAGAGAGGTGTGTCTCTACATGCCAACATTCCTCCCTATAAATGGGATTGGATAGGTGCGTTTATCTGCATGCCAGCATTCCCTCTTATATATGGAATTGAAGCGGTGTATGTGTCTTCATGCCAGCGTTCTTTCATATACATGGAATTGGAGAGGTGCATTTCTCTACATGCCGATGTTTCCTTATTTCCAAGGACAAGGAGAGGCAAAATGGCATGGTAGATAGAGGGTCTGTTTTGAAGTCAGGAAGCTCTGGTTCTGGAAATGACTGAGGGAAAAACAAAAGGAGTCAATAAAGTCATTATTTTTTTTGAAAACCTCAAACATCTGGAGAGTTGGTCATATGTGCAGGGCTTAACTTTCCCCTTCTGACCAGACATCCTTGTCTGAAGTTAGATTCCTATGGATAGATGACTTTGACTTTCCATCATTTTGCTGTGGTTTGCCTGGGGGTGGGATACTATCACAGAAACAGGATCGTAGATTTAAACCTGGGAAGAACCTTAGAAGCCATTGAGTTCAACCCCTGCATTTTTATGGCTGGGGAAACTGAGTCACAGAGAAGTTAAGTGGCCTGCTCAGGATTACAAGCTAGTAAGTATCCGAGGTGGGATCTGAACCCAGTCTTCCTGACTCCAAGTCCAGAGCCCTATCTACTGCTATTCTAGCTTACCTTGTTCCCAAGTACCTCTGCATTGAGGAAAAGAAACATTCTGGTCTTTAACATTTATTAAAAATTTATTTTATTTTTAATTTATGGAATAAAAGAAGCATTTCTGTAACATAGTATAATAATAAAGATGATTGCACGTGAAACTACAAATCTTTTATGTACAACTTGCTATTCCTTTTAAATATATAATAAAGTTATCATGTAAATTTCCTTTTTTTCTTTCTTTCGCCCTCCCCCCCACGCTAGAGATGGCTGCTATTAGACACAAATATGTATGTATATGTAAAATAATTCTATACATGTGGGTTTTTTTGCTTTCTCTTTTTCAGGGGTCGACAGACAATATGGCCAGGAGGGCACTGAAAATTGTTTCTTGGACCAGTGTGGCCCTGGCTTCCTCTGGCTTCTACCTTTACAGTAACAAGTACATAGACCCCAATGATTTTGGAGCAGTCAGGATAGGCAGAGCTGTAGCCACGGTAGGTTTTCTCAGTGGGAGTGAATTAATTTTGAAGCCTCATTGTGGTGGCAGCTAGGTGGTGTAGTAGATAGAGCACCAGCCCTGGAGTTAGGAGGACATGAGTTCAAATGTGGCCTCAGACACTAGCTGTGTGACTCTGGGCAAATCACTTAACCTCAGTTGCCTAAAAAAAAAATTAATAATAAAACCTCATTGTGGAGACTTTAAGAAAGATTACATAGACACATAGACAGATACATTGCATATTACATTACATAACACATTACGTAGACAGACACGCACATATATGCATGGCTACAGAAAATATCATGTAAATTACATTACATGTATGCATGCCAGCACACTTTCCCTTTAAATAGCATTTTATTTTTTCCAATTCATGTAAAGACAATTTTTAACATTCACTTTTTAATAAAAGTTTTAGTTCCAAATTTTCTTCCTTCTCTCTCTTCCTCCCTTCTCCCTAAGACAGTAAGCAATTTGATACAGGTTATATATGTGCAATCATGAAAACATATTTCCACATCAGTCATGTTATATAAGAAGAAACAGAATAATAAAAGAAAAGCTACAAAAAAAAATAAGGAAAGTAAAAATAGTATATTTTGATCTGTGTTCAGACTCCATTAGTTTTTTCTCTGATTGTGGATAGCGTTTTCCATCATGATGAGTCTTTTGGAATTGTCTTGGATCATTGTATCAGTGCACTTTTCAATATGCTATATAGCTGTCTGTCTTCCAACTGAGTCCATGACTGTTGAGCACCTAGTACAATATCTGGCACATTGTATGGCTCTCTGTTATTTAGGTGGCTTATTGGGTAGCTAGATGGCCCAATCTAGCTAGATTGGGGCTGGAGTTAGATTCATCTTCTTGATGTCAAATATGGCCTCAGACACTTACTAGCTGTGTGACCCTGGGCAAGTCACTTAACCCTGTTTGTCTCAGTTTCTTCATCTGTAAATGAACTAGAGAAGGAGATGGCAAACCACTCCAGTGCCTTTGCCAAGAAAACCCAAATGGGTCATATAGAGTCAGACACGACTGAAATGACTGAACAATAATAACAAAAAGGTGGCTTATTGGATAGTGTTGGACTTGAAGTCAGGGTGACCTGAATTTGAATCCTGCCTCAGCCACTTAACAGCTGCACGACTCTAGGCAAATAATTTAACGCTTTCAGCCTCAGTTTCCTCAACTGTAAAATGAGGATAATATTAGTGCTTAACTCTCAGGGTTGTTGTAAGGATAGAATGAGATAATATGTGTAAAGTTCTTTGCAAGCCTTAAAGCAATACATAAATAAATATTAGTTGTTATTATTAATACATGAATGCACGGTAAGTTGTTTGCAATGTGTAGAGGTCTAAGGGGTAAGAGTATTTTAGGGGTGGGGACATGCCATATGAACTATGTGGTACCTGACAGGTGACAGTGTCAGGTTTAGAACACACAGTGTGTCGGGGCACTAAGAATGTGTATGTCCTTCCTTGGTTAACAGACTGCTGTCATCAGTTACGACTACCTCACTTCCCTTCGGAGCGTTCCTTATGGTTCAGAGGAGTATGCACAGCTCAAATCTAAGGTGAGCATCTGTTGGGTCTGTTACCTGAGGCCACTATAACGTGGTCCCTCCCTTGGAAAGGTTTCAGGGCTTGCAGACCCCATGGTTAGTACCGTGTCTAACTGGAGAAGAGCAGGTTTGGAGTTGGGGACAGAGACCCAGCCAGGCTTGGAATGGGAGGATGGGAGGAGGAGGGGACCTTTTCCATCTCCACCCTACAGTATTTGCATGCCGATGGAGAAGCTGTATCCCATGGTGCACTGCTTTATTAATTTAAGAGCCAGCTGCCCGAGGTGCAGATACACTCTTGTTGGTTGTGTGTGTTCTGGGGACAGTGTGTGCCTGGGATGGCTCTGAATAGATGAAGACTCTGTCCCCAAGATAACTCTGTTGGCTTCAGAACTGCTTTGTCAGTGAAAACCATTCGAGAGAGGTTAATTACTTTCCTTCCCACTGAATCCTGCACTGGGGCTGCCTGCAAGCCACTGGGGTCCCAGGCTGCTGCTGTATGTCCAGTATGCGAGGACTAGTCTGTACCAGAAAGAGGGGTTGAACCTTCCCTTTACTCCCTAACTTGGTATGTGCTAGTTAAACTCCAGGAAACTGGCTGGGCCAGAGAAGGTGGTAGAAGTGGCAAAGGATAGGGAATTGTCATATTTATTGTAGAGAATGGAACTTGACAAGAGACAGTATTGCAGAGTGGGAAGAATGCTAGCTTTGGAGTTAACAGGTCTAGCTTTGAATCCTGGCTTTTCCACCTACTGCTACTACTACTACCACCACCACCACTACCAGCGCCATCACCATCACCACCACTGCTACTACTAGCTAACATTTATATAGCACTTACTGTGTGCCAAGCACTGTGCTAAGCACTTTACAAGTATTATCTCAATTGATCATTGTAACAACCCTGGGAGGTAGATGGTATTATTATCCTCGTTGTACTAGCAAGGAAACTGAGGCAAACCGAGGTTTGTTTTTTTTTTCTTTAAGTGACTTGCTGAAGGTCCCAAAGTTAATAGTAATAATAATCATAATGACGATAGCTAAGGCCAACATTTATATAGCACCAGGCACTGTACTAAATGCTTTACCAATATTATTTCAGTTGATCCTCATAAAAACCCTAGGAGGTAGGTACTATTATTATCCCCATTTAGCAGATGAGGAAACTGAGGCAAACAGAGGGTTTTTTTAAAAAAGTGACTTGCCTGAGGTCACATAGTTAACAGTAATAGTGATAATAATAATAATAATGATGATAATAATAATAATAATAATAATAATAATAATAAAAGCTAACTGAGGCAGAGTTTAAGTGACTTGCCTAAAGTCACACAGTTAGTAATATAATAAGAAATGCTAACATTTATATAGTACTTACTGTGTGCCAGGCACTATGCTAAGTACTTTATAGATATTAGCTCATTTGATCCTTACAATAACCCAGGGAAATAGATGTTATTATTGTCCCCATTTTATAGATGAGGAAACTGAGCAAACATAGGTTAAGTGCCTTGCCCAGGGTCATAGTTAATGTCTGAGATCAGATTTGAACTCAGATCTTCCTGACTTCAGACTCTATCCATTGTACTACCGGCTATCCCTTACTACCCGTAGGATCTTGGGTCATTTAACCTTTCCGAGCCTCAGTTTCCTTCTCTGTAATATAATGGGGTTAAGGTGTATTGATTTCTAACTCTAAATCTATAATCCAGGTCTGAGGTGCAGTGGCTTCTGCTTGAGTAAAACTATTGTAATGCTCTGATCAGACTCTAGCCTCTTACAGTAGGTTGATCTCTAAGCCCTTGTCGCTGGGGACTGTTGTTCCTTCTCCATCTCATCCTCTCTCCCCGACCCTGCCACTATCACCTACTTTTTTTTTTTTTTTTGCTTTTTGGTAAGGCAGTTGGAGTTAAATGACTTGCCCATGGTCACACAGCTAGTAAAAGTGTCAAATGTCTGAGGGCAGATTTGAACTCAGGTCCTTCAGACTCCAAGGCCGGGGCTCTATCCACTGTGCCACCTAGCTTCCCCTAGTATCACCTGCTTGGTGGTTTATAGCCATCGTTTACTCCCCCCCTCCCCTTCTGCTGGTGTTACACACTTTGTGGTTCAGCTCAGCATCTGCTTTGAGGCCCCCCAGTGGTGTTTTGCAGCACTGGGGACAGAAAACAAAAAAGAATTCTCTGCCTTAGGGGAACCCAGAGAGGAGGTGATGTTGACAAGAAGTTACCTTTGTAGTTGTAGGAGTCATCTGAAGGACACCTCAGTTCCATCTTCTGCAGCCATCGACAGTCTCCAGAGATTCAGTGAGGAATTGTACAGACTGGCATCAGATAAGGGGATGGAGGATGGGGAGACTTAGGGTAATTGACATTGGGTAAGAGGGATATTTAAGACTTGGGGTACAAGATAGTCTTGGGGAGCATTGACAAATGGGGGGCTATAGTTTGATAAATGGGGAATAGGTTGGCACTGAGAAAGTAGGGATGAAAACTATAGAATTGTCTTCCTAAGCCTGTGTGCTTATCCAGTTCCCAGTGTATCTGATAAAGGAAAGAGCCGAAGGGTAAAACATAATTATCTTACCTGTCAAGCCAGCATTTCTGGGTCCCGGATGTCAGGAGAGTAGACACAATAGCTATGACTTAGAGAAACACTTCCAAGGTTGGCATCAGTATGGCAGTATCTCTGTGACTCAGCAAAGCACCAGGGAGTATAGTATCCCCTTCTGGGGATGTGGTAGCCACACTGTGTCAGGCACCACTTAGAATACCCATTCGTTCTATTGTAAGAGGGTCATTGACAAACTGGAATTTGTCTAATGACTCCAGTTAAACCATGTCATAAGAGTAAAGTTTCAAGGAGCTGAAAGTGTTTATTCTTGAGAAGAGAGATGACTTCCTGGGGACATGATGGCTCTCTTCAAATATTTGTAGAGCTGTTGTAGCGAACAGAGATTTGGCTTATTCCATGTGTCTCCAGAGGGGCAGGAGTAGAATCATTGGGTATGTATTATAGCAAGGCAGATTTGACCCAGCATATGGAAGAAATTTCTGACAGTCAGATCTTGGTTAGGTAACGAGTTCCCTGTTCATGGAGAGGCATTTGAGCAGAAAATGGATGACTCTTAGGCACAGAGTAGAGGAGATTCCTGTTTTAGACACAGATTGATCTAGATGTCGGTAAGTTTCCTTTCAACTCGGTGATTCTTTGATTCTGTGAATTACAAGGAAGTATGTTAGCCACAGAAGGACTTAATGAATCAAAGAAAGGGTCCAAGTTCTGACATCCTGGGGTTGAAAGAGACTAATGAGAGACTCCCTTGTTGTTGGTTTTCAACTAATTAATTAATTAATTAATTTTTAGTTTTCATCAATCACTTCCATAAGCTTTTCAGTTTTAAATTTTCTCCCCCTCCCTTTCTGCCTCCCTCCCCAAGACGGCGTGCAATCTGATATAGGCTATACATATACGTTCCTATTAAACATATTTTCACATTAGGACTCACTTGTTGTTAGGTAGGGTTAGTGCCGGGAATGCCTGCTCATATTGCCCTCTCCCAAAAGCCTCAGCATTTATACCTCTAAAATGGGTGTGTGAGAGGCAGATTGATGAAGAGTAAGATAGATTCACTAAGACTATAAGACTCAGATTCGTTGTCTAAGAGTTTAAGTCACAAAATAGTTGTTGATCTTCATTGGGAGAGGATGATTCCTCACTGGGACTTCCTTATATCACTGAAATCATACGTTTGTATAAAGAAGAAAAATAGGAGTAGGAATGCGGCTTATTGTCCATCTCTAACTTAAGTCAAGTTAAAAGTAATGCTTAATTATACAATCATGAATTATTTTGTTGAAGCAGGGAGGAAAACCAGAAGCAAATTTTCTGGAAGCTGGCCTTGGAGAATTCTTATCTCTTCAATGAAGAAGTTAATTTTGGGAGCTGTCTTATTACAGAGGATGTATATTCGAACATGCACCATTACCATCAGTGGTCCTCTGATAGGGACAGGAAAGATATATGGGTCTGAGGTTCTCGTGGCGGTTTGTTGATTTCTCTAGTTGGCCTCATGCCACTGAGGATCTTTAGGTGTGTATGTGTAATAGTTAAGTTAGCGGGCACAGGCCAGACTGCAGGTTGATGTTATGGGGTTAGAGTATATTTATGCTTCTGTGCTTTGTTGACTCTGGAAATATTTTCACTTTATTTTCTTCTTAATTGGCGATCCTGAAAAGCTCCCTGCTGGATTTAATTTGGATGACTATTATGGTAATGACCTTTGGGGGTATCATCATCATCATCAACAACGGCAAATATTTATTAAGCACCCACTGAGTGCATAACACTGTTTAGTCTTTAAGGTAATGAGTGAATCGATCAACAAATATTCTATTTATTGAGCTCCCGCTCTGTGCAAAGCACTGCTAGGTTCTGGGTAAAGAAAGTATGTAATAGTGTGTATGTGTGTGCATGTATGTGTGTGTGCATGCACGCACATGCACACATACGCATGTGAAAAAGCCTTTAGCTTCCTTGGTTACAGAATCATGGGCCAGGAGGAACTAGGAGAGTCACTACATTTGTGAAACCTTTTTAAAAATTTTTACTTTTTCTTTTGAACTTAAACACCAAACAAAAGGGCATGTCCATATATGGCAGACATGGCAGAATACAAAAAGAGAATTGTATGTGGAGCTGTGAATCGTATTTTATACTGCTTGCTTTAAAAAAATGTATATAATTCTGGAAGTTATTTTCCAGACTTTTTTGCTTGTCTGTACTTCCTTCTGAACTTCTTTCTGTTCCCTTCTGTGCATTTAAAAAAAAGGTTTCAGTGGTTCTCTTTTTTATTGGCATCGTGATTGCCAACTCTCCCTCTTCCTGGATGTCTTCTCCTGTCCCCCAATAAAAATTGAGTGAAAGAAAAAAAAGCCCTTCATAACAAACCACTAAAGTCAAGCAAATTAAATCTACCTAGTGACCAAGTCCAAAAATATATGTTTCTTTCT